TCCCCTAGGCGACAGAACACCTAAGGTAAACCCAAAAACGAACTTACTTGGTCTTCTAGCCTGATTTAGGCTTTACGGCTATGGAAGCAGGGTGGTCTAGGCGAAGTCCTGCAGGTAGCTTGAATGCTGACTAGACAGCACACGAACGGGCAAGTCGTAATACGCAGCAAATAGCAACCCGCGAAAGGGGCCAAGATTCCCTCCAGGCAACAAATCAACAGTGATAAAGATTTACCTTACCGACTGAGTATGCCCGGCGTGAAGGATATGGGCGTTGAGTGGCCCACACAGGAGTTCGGCTGGTGGAAGGAAGTTACTTATGCGGCTTACGAAAAGGGAGGTCCGCACAGGGCTTGTTGTCTAGCTCAGAGAACTTTACAATGTTCCAATCATGAGCCGTAAAGCGACTTTTCCAAGCTCGCTGCCGGCTATAAATACCGAAGTCACACTGTCGATCACAGGAGGCCCTCAAAAGATAAGCCTCGAGTACGACCATGACGTATAGTCCACAAATGACACAAGTGAAACACCTTATAACCCGTGTGACAGAACATTCACACAAGAAATGAACAATTATCAAGTAAAGTACATAAACATACGCGAACGAGCGTACATTCTCGTCTCGTCCATAAGTCGATCAGCGAAGTGTAAGATAAGAACCAAACACCTTACGCGATAATACACGAAATTCGCGTACTCACACCGATTATAACCTAAGACGATTATAAAAGACGGTAAAATGAACGTGACGCTAAAATGTCGTGACAGTTGCTTTGGGCTGGTAGGTTGTGTTGTGTCCGCCCGGAGGACCAACCCCAGTGGGATTGTTCTCGTGTAGCGGAGCACCCAGACGGAGTGCATGGGGCCAGAAGTGGACGAGGAGGACTTGGAGCCAGAAAGGGGAGATAACTCGGACAGCAGCAATGGATGAGGTGCAGTTGTGGAGGCACGTCGGTGAGGGCGGCATCGGGGCAACGGGTACCAAGGGTCGGAAGCTCGTCCTGACAGCCCAAGCCAGGGCTAAGAGGACCAGGTGGAAGAAGAGAAGCGAATGGTGGCGCGGTTTCCTGAGTCACAGATTAGAAGGCATGGAAGCCACCCCTGGGGTGCGGAAGCCAGGGAGAACGGGAGGATAAACGGCAGCAGTCAGACGCTTGGGCTGAGGATTAGGCCCGGGAGACGCAGCTAGCCAACGCGGGAGCGGGAGCCCGGTATCCGGCAGCAGCCACTGGCCTGAAAGAGCAGCCTCAGGCGAACCGGGGCGTCCGGGAGAAGGCCATCCAAGAGGCACATGGCCGCCGTAAGGAAACAACATGGCAGCCCCGGAGGCGCTGCATTACGAGGTCGTTGGCCGCGTCCCAACATCCCAGCTGTGGGAGGCCCCGGAGGGCCAGGTTGGAGTAATGGCGCCAAGCCACCACGCAATGCGGGTGGTAAACCCGCAGTCGTGTTAGGCTAGAGCGGGAGGACGAGGTGCTCGAGGACGCATTGGCTAAGGTGGGCCCGGGGATGGCCAAGGAATTGCGTGAGTGCTGCAGTGATTCTGCAGGGCCGCAACATCAGCGCGTTGGGGTGTACATCGGGCAAAAGCCAAACTCGCTTCTCAAAGGACACTTCACGGGGCAAATTACTGGATACCTGGTGCCATGGAACTGAGTGGGGACGAGTGAGTTCAAGCTACAGCAGCAGGCCCGCGAATGCCGGGTGTTCGGGTTAGTTGACGAGCCAGAGAGGGGCGCCCCAAGTAGGGCCGGGGGAGGCACGGAAAGCCTACCCGGCACCGGACAGGCAAGGGGCGAGTCCTGCAGTAAGGTAGGCAACCGTAAGAGAGGGCCGGAGAAACGGATGCGCAGAGGGAGGGGGCGCGCACCGGGCAGGCAGAAGACCCAGCCGGATGATGAGGAGTCGCATAGACGAGGCGTAACAACGGCGAAGGAGGTCGCCGCTTCTGTGGAGAAGCAGAGGCTGGGTGGAGGCGAAGGTGAATGGCAAAGTAGCGACGGGCGAAGTTACCTGTGGCACGAGCCGAACTAGAGGCAACGCGGCGGAGTCTTGTGAACGAGGTAGAAAATATGAATGGTAGGTAAGAGAGTCGGCGTGAGGCTGGAGGCTTACGTTTTCTGTTGACGATGACTGCATTAGGTTATTTCGTACTCTCTACTCGATTGCCGTGCGAGCGGCCCACCCGCCCTCCCACTAACAGCCAAATGGCTGATCGGAGTTGTCTTTGAAGGGTTTGGGTACCGCGGGAGTGTGGTCGCAGACGCAATGGCCTTCCCCACAATAAGTTAGTAGTGAGTACGGATCACGCGATGACGTTTAAGCAATGGTCATTAGGGACCCGCAGCCGGGCGGGTACTGTGGTACGGACCCGCAGTACCCGCCTTATTTGCCGACCTCTGGGTGGAAACACTGCGCATTTGTGGCTTCCGCGTCTGCCGGCTATGACCGATTGCAAGCGCGAATATGCTGAAGTGTCTTGCGGCCTATGCGGCTTCGTCTGTCTGAGCAATACAATGTAGTTGTTCATACGCACAAGCTCTACCAGACCTCATCTAGTAAAAACGTGCAAGTTCTTATCAGTATTTGCTGATGGTCCTTCTGGTGGGGTATCGAGGGCTTCCGGCAATGGGGTAGTCCCTAAGGCACTGATTGGGTCAGTAACCCATGGGTTACGCATCTTCAATCCCCGGTAGCACTTTGGTAACCCCCTTGTAAGTTCCTACCCAGCAGGAGGGGTGACATGGCCCCAGGGTAAACCCCTCCGTTGCCCTGGACTATGGACATATGTATGGGCCTATAGGCTACTCGTCTTATATGCTTCCCACATCGTAAACTCCGCTTAAGGATACTTCTAAAAATGTAAACGTTAGCAACCTACAGTATCGTGGTATCTCGGGAAGCATCGTTTGCCATTTCAACCTTAGGGTCTCTAATGCTGGCATCACACACGCAAGGAATAAGCAATAAGTACCTATGTCTTGGCCTGTTTGGCTTGTAGATGAGTACAGGAGAAGGGGCGAATGCTAGCAGCACACACGCAAGTCGACGACAGGTCTTCACTAAATGGATGCCTTTGGTTGTCATCCAATGTTATATAATAGTTGTCATTGTGAAACAT